ACCATTACCAGCACACACCTAACCCTAAACCTAACCATTACCAGCACACACCTAACCCTAAACCTAACCATTACTAGCACACACCTAACCCTAAATCTAACCATTACCAGCACACACCTAACCCTAAACCTAACCATTACCAGTACACACCTAACCCTAAACCTAACCATTACCAGCACACACCTAACCCTAAACCTAACCATTACTAGTACATACCTAACCCTAAACCTAACACATCCTCAATTCACACCTTAGTCCTAAACCTAGCCCCTAACCCACCAACGGGACTTCTTCTTATGGGGCCCGGGCTTTGGGCCCCATAAGGAGCAGTTGGTCCTCACAATGCAGTATAAGTTGGAAAAATGGCCCTCACAAAGTAGCATAAACAAGGACACACACACCTACATTTAATAGTTGTAAAAAGCTCATGAAGCTTTTTTGTCTTCTGAGAAGTATTTGTTTGCTTTTGTGCTGTTTGTCACAATATCTATTTGTACAGGAGTCCCTCGCTACTTGGCGGTTCGTTTATCGCAGATTCACGATACCACGGTTTTTCAAAATAAGAGTGGACATGACACAATTGTCTGATTGATGGATGAGCCATGGGTTGTTTATTTTAAATACGTTATTTTAAATGATTTTGCAAGATGTGTGAGGCCCACAAGTGCAGGGGGAAGCTCCCTCCTGCAGCTGATCAGCTGATCTCCTTCTCTGCTGCATCAGCTTTGTGAAGGGTTAACCCTTTGCTGTCCAGATGCTCCGATCAACTTTTGTCTTCCAACTTAAAATTCAAAGTATGTCACATGGTAAAATTGTCATAATCACAAAATATAAGTGTTAAAAGTTCTTTTTAGTCATTTTAGAACTTCTGTGTTCAGTTGTTTCAGTGTCATTGATCAAGAAGAACATTTCTGCTCCGTGCCGCAGAGCTGTGTGAAGAGTTAACCCTTTGATGTCCTGCTGTGCTTCTCTTCTTGACAATTTAAATTTAAATACTGTAACATTTTAAACAATCCATGCTGGATGGATTGTTTAAAATGTTACAGTATTTAAATTTAAATTCTTTATTTAAGGAGGGAGATTGGGAGCAACAGGTGATGAGTGTGATTACAGTCTGGCACATGTCATGACAAAGTTTACTGAACTTGAACTGAACTTGGACTGAACTTGAACTACTGTCTCACTACTTTGCGGTTTTTCACTTATTGCAGGTTGGTGCGGTCCCTAACACCCGTGATAAACGAGGGACTACTGTATAAAGAACTTTGCTCAAGATGTTCTGAAGATTCAGATGGTTTCTCAACCAGTTCTTTAAAAGCAAACATTAGTTTTGCTGGCACCTGCTTCAAATGTTATCAGCCATTAAATGGCCTATTATCAGTTGTTATCATCCCCACACGTTCTAACTGCCCCTCCTGTACCTCCTAGCTAGTTTAAAGGTATGTTGTTAGCGTTGTTAGCACTGACAATAGGCTCACGTGGTTAGGTTCAGAGTAAAGGGTCTGGGGATTAGGTTTAGGGTCTGGGGATTAGGTTTAGGGTCTGGGGATTAGGTTTAGGGTCTGGGGATTAGGTTTAGGCACAAGCATAAGGGTGTTAAGTTTAGGGTCAGTGCTCTGGGTCAGGTGTCAGGTTAGGTTTAGGAAAAGGGTTACATAAAGCTGATAAAAAATAAACCCTTCCTGTTTAACCCATGCGCAACGCTGCTTATTATCAGCAATACAAACAAACTTTAAAACTGCTAGGAGGTAGGAGGGACAATAATGTCCATTTAATGGGCTGATAACATCCGAAGCCGCTGAGTTATTTTATTTTAAATATCTGTCATAATGCCTATGAGAAGTTTTCACCCCTTGCATGTTTTGTGCTTTTATTGCTGTCATATAACAGTCATGGTCAATATAAATAACAGTGTTGAAGTGAAATAAAATTAGCAATATAAATAGTAATATAAATAGTAATATAAACAAAATGAAATATGTAATGAAAAACAAGTGATTGCATAATAATGTACAATGTAGTTCCTTGAACGTGACGGTCTTAATTCAAGTCAGGGCATGGATACAAAGCCCCGACCATCCAGCATCAAGAAACGTAAGAATATGAGAAACATAAATCTGTCAGCAGGTTGTTCACAAACTGAAGGAAGAAACAAAAGTCAGAGGGAGTTACAGGTTCAGCAGGTGATGTGGGAACGACTGGTTTCTTACCAGTTTGAGCTTTATTGGAGGGTGGTAAAGAAAACCCATTAAATCTCAATAAGAGTTTTTGCAAAATATTTTTGCATCTAGTTTAAATCACTTTTTATTGCTAATTTTAGATACTGTTCAGTTCATTTTATCTGCCACTCTGTTGCTTTTAATTTGTAACTTTTGGAACTTGTTTTGAACGTTACTGAGTTTTAGTTTCCTTGGCAAATTTCACTGAAGTCCACTATCAGCAGGTGGCATTTTCTGTGGGAGTTGGACGTTGGTTCACTTCCTCTTTACCACTGCACCATTTTAGCTGAGCCATAGATTTTCCATAGCTGAGTATTTTTTGTTTCTCTCCAAACCCAGTTTTTAGAATGGAGTTTTCAGTCAACATAAAAACATCTACTGTAGACCTACTGAAGAACGGTGCCTCAACCTTTTCACTGGACTTCTTTATTTATTTTATTTTATTTTATTTGACTTTATATATTCAGGTTAGTCTTAATGAGTCATGAGGACTCATTTTCAAAAGAGACCTGTTTTAGACAAACAACATCTTAAGTACAGACAACAATATACAAAAATAAAAAAACTATTAAAATAAAAAGTTGTGTTATAAAAACACTGGTATTGTTAGAAGCATGGTCCTGTTAGCAGTGTGGTCCTGTTAGCAGTGTGGTCCTGTTAGCAGCATGATACTGTTAGTGGAGTGGTTTTGTTAGCTGCATGGTACTGTTATCAGT